AAGATCTATCGCTTTATCACCTATTCAGGTTGTAAATCATGTTTTTAAAAAGTAACTAAGTAACTAAGTAATTAATTACTTTTGAAAATAAGTAATCAGTTCAGTGTTTGCCTCGAGCATAAACATGAACATGGAAAACCAGCCTGTGCTGTTTGTGATTCTGCTGAAAACAAGAACACAACAACAACAGTTATTGTAGTTTTAAGTGTTTAATGTGTCAAATTATACACAACACAAACACAACCCTGTCACAGCAATGTTACAAAGAAACAGGGGTTGTTATTGATCATAAGTCAATGACCCTCTTAAGGCACGACCCCCACTGGCCTTTAAATTCCTGGGACTCTCCACCATTTTGTTTTTGAACTGAAGAAGCTTCTTGGATGAGAAATGAAACATCTTCAAGTAGCTTAAACAAGTCCAGACGCTTTTCTTTCCAAGCTCCTTAGACTACCATCAGTTGGATGGCTGAGATCCGTCAATGCAAAATTAATACTTCCTTTTTAAATTTTAAGAGTTCAAATGAGTAATTCGTTAAATATAAACAACACTTTTATTGAGAGAAATGAGTTTGATACAACACAACTTTCAGCAGATTTACAGTATATCCTGCAGGCGTATAAATGTAACAACAAAGTCTGTTTTTGGATCTTAGCAATACTCTCGATCAGGTTCATCGCCACATCACCCGACTTCTGGTACTGATACCACAACATCTAATATTAAAGTTCTTATAAATTATTTTAATATGATTGACAACAGACATCCTTAAATTTTCAGACTAAATAGATTAACATTTGACAAACTGCTTCATGGAAGCACTGAGTTTCAACATGCACAACCAACCACTAAAGAGCCAGTACTGATGTACAGTATTAATATTGAAGAGCATTTTCTCCTCTGAGACGTTCACATATAATCCCAGCACATTTCAAGAGAAAAAAAACCCCTGTTTAGTCCTCAGTGGTTGTTTGTTTCTAACAATACTGGAATCCACCAAAGGCAAAGGCCCGACTCAAACAGCAGACACACCCATTCTTTAGGACTAATCTGCCCAAAGGCTTAATGACTACCATTTTCAATCACTGTCACTGTCATCCTCCTCTTCCTCCTGTTCCTCTTCCTCCTTCTTCTCAGTTTCCTCTACAAGTCCTGAGAAGAAGTCATTGTCACCATGGGCCTTCTTGGTGAGAGACTTCATCCGACCGTTTTTCTTCTTTCTCTTGCGGTACTCATCGACAGTCGTGTTGGGTAAACTGGAAATATCCCAGAACTTTATGAGCTGGTCTTGGGCGCAGCTGACCAGGAAACGTGAGTCCCAAGACTTAGCGAGCTCTTCAACGGGTTCACCAACATGCTGCCCGATGCAGCCGATGACTCGGTTGGGAAGAAGGTTGACGGCTCTGAAGGTGGAGAGACAGAGTGTGTTAGTAAGTTATATCGACAATCTGATGTCTGATGAGTCTTAACGAGTACCATTTGTTTATCAGCTTCAACATAAAACAACTCTGACTCAATGCAGTTTTACAGATGATCAGACAAACGTGTACTGACTATAGAGATGGTATGCTGACCAATCACAGCAGCCCAGGAACTGATGGTTAAGGTCTTCGAGATTACTGAAAGTAAGCTGGTTTAAAATGCAAATATTTCACTTAGGTTGATGATAATTTTTGAAAATGGCCTGAAGTCCAAAACCAAGATCAGAGGAATCATTGGTCAGGGCTCTAGAGTGCGACCAATTTTTTCAATGGCGCGACTAAAAATTTTTTTTAGGTCGCACCGGTGCGACCAACTGTTCGAGTAACAGAAAAAACAAAAGTCTTTGCAACTCTGAAAGTCTTTGTGTGGTCAACAGCAGACACACATTGTGCCCCTATCGTGGTTTAAACCAATCAGAGATAGTAAGGGGAGGGACCTCTCTGATTGGTCGTGGTCCAGATATTCATGTAGTCCGTGTGTACGTTTGAAAGTGCAGGGTGGGCGGAGTGAGAGAGGTGAGTAGCTTGAATAAAGTGATATCGATTCATTAAATCCTGAATCAACTTTTAAATATAAATGTATTTTGCCAGAAACGCCAGAATCTCAGGTTAAAGCTCACAAAACTATTTCAACAACCACCAAACAGTAAATGAGAGAGCAGGTAAACACAAAGACGTAAACACAGAGCGGACCCGACGCATCAAAATCAGCTTTCTCTTTCTCGGTTTTCTCACCGACGGCCCGTACACGGACACGCCGTCGGGGCTGAAAGCCAACAGCTCACCGATTCTGATGCGTCGGGTCCGCGCTGTGTTTCTGTCTATTTTTAGCTAGATTCTGAGCTGCAGGTTTTGTCTCTCTTAAACTAAAATTCACTGAACCAGCAGCAAAAGAAGCAGCAAACTACGCTTCACATTTGATAAATATCGTCATGAATTCCCTCTGACTTTTGCTGTTTTGCTTCCACCACGATAAAAATCGCACTTCATGCACAGCTCTCTCTCTCTCTCTCGCTGTACTTCAAGAACAGTTTCCCATCTCAAATCTGTTTTCTGCATTATTCATTCGCTTATTACCCACCAGTCTACCGTTGTTTACAGCGCTGTCGGCCACTGTGTTTTTGTTTTTTTTTAACTTAAATGACCTCGGACAAGAAAGCCTAATTTCTGCAGTTCAATACTGAAGACATTTAAACTTCTTAAAATTATGCAAAATTGCAGAATATT